TTCGGATTACTGTATCTTCACGAAAAATTCGAAGCAAAGTAACGGTTTTAACATGAAGTGCTCCGGTCGAATTATCGCTGAATCCCTCCCTCGATATTAACGCGTATCAATACTCTAGTGATTGCATTTGAGATAAGTACTAGCATTTCTTCCCTAGAGAGTTTTCTATGAAAAATTTTTACAATACAAAAACAAATGTTTTCAATAGAATGTTCAGGTTTGCAAAAAAAACTTGTTCAGGTTTGTAACAAAACTATTTCTTACAAATAGTTAGATTCGACGATTAGCGAGGAAATAGAGTCCGACGGAGATAGATATAGATATAATCTCAAACAAAAACAACAACAAACAAATGAAACGGAAGCAGATCTAACTCCGCCGGACCTCATTCCTCGCTAAATTAATTCCCTTCTTTTCTGTTCAGTCAAGTTTCTTCGGTCTGCTACCGCTTTATCGGCTACCTGCTTTCTGGAGGTTTCCGTCTTCTGTCTTTTGAACATTCTGAGAATCTCGTTGCCGGCCGCTGCCTGACGTTCATCGTAGAAATAGTCACGAATCATTTCCTTTATGTGTTACACCATCTCAAGCATTTTTCGTTGGCAATTAATCTCAAAGCCATCTCTATCCCTTCAGAGCTCTCGGGAATCCAATGGATAAGAATGAAATGGGTACGACACATGACCTCGAACCCACCCACGCTGAGCGAATGGCTGAAGCGAAGAAAAAGACAGAAAAAGCCGTTCTAGATGCCTATCTGTAGATTACTGATACCACTTTATCATAGAGTTAAGCTTCGCCACTTTTCATTGATCTGCAAGCTTATTTCTTTCAATTGGAAGTAACTTTGAACCACTCTTTGAGTGGTCCTATAAATGGGTAAAATTCATGGCGTTAAACGATCCCTTCTGAGGGATATGTCCACGCATTCGACTTTCATTCAGAATCGTGGTGGCGTGTTGAATGCGTATGTCGCCTATGCAATGGCTTGCGGTGGCCAGCCGATGTACAAGTCAGTGCTTTTATCCTCCCAGACGAGTCTGGTACCAAGTCGCCGACTCGAAGGGAGGAAAGGCTTGGTTGGTCAGGCGGGTATCGATCTNAAAGTCAAACTCGGTAGGAAAATTTTTTGTTGGTTTATGGTTGGATGTCCGAGTCCTGAAAGCCCTGAAAACTGCTCACTTCAAACGAAAATCCATCTATAATCTAAAATTTGCTGAACGTGCGGTTTTGATTCAGCTAACTGAAAGGCAGGGACTTAGTGGTTAGATGATAAGTTTGTTAATGATTGTACCATTTTCATTGGAATGACTTTAACCCATCCTCTACTCCCCTTCCACCGTTTTCGCTAATTCTTACAGCTTTCGTAATTCCAAAACGGATTCTACTACCACCATGAATTTCAGTAGAATCCCTTAATCACGTCCTTCCTTTTGTTCTCGATTTTCTTTCCGGAAAAAGTTAAACCATGGGAAAAATCTCATCTATCTCTATCCGTCGGCATAGATGTGAAGGGAGGGACGAGTTCATTACACGATCAGCTCTTTCTGTTAGACACCATGAACGGTTTACCATTTTCATTCAGAAGTCATGAATGGGTTAGGTTGGATAAGCAGACCAAGGGAAGCTGAACAGAGGAGTTAATTGGGTTGTACACGAACAGAAAAACTGAGATGTTGCATTTGCTTGGTGCACTACAGTAGCTGGGTTTATTGCCAGATAAATTTCTTTTACGGTCAACGGAAAAAAGGTGTACTCTACGTAGAAGAAATTTTTTCTGACACATTACGACCCTTTTCTTTTGTACGAAGTACTTATTCAGTTTGCCGGTTGTTATATGAAGGTATACGCTGGCAAAAATCCAGGGTCAAGGAGATCACTTAGGATAGAGCAAACTTCACAATCTAACAGTTAAATAACTAATGGAGATCAAAATTTCAAAAAGAACAAAAGAACAAAACACAGGTACCAAGGTAAACTATATTGGAGAAAACAAAAGCAAAATGGGAAAGTAGAAAATTGACAACGGGATGACGAACGGAGAAAATGTTCAAAATCCAGCCTTTCCAGATCCCCCAAGCCTTTGTGCTTTATTTCTGAGGAACTGGGAAGAAAGTGGAATAATGAAATTTAGATGTCAGAGAAATGCATAGACATCTTCCCTGTACGAAAGGATGCTGAAATTGAAATGCGAACTTATGAGAGACCTTTCCGGAACAAAAAGGGTTAGTACCTTTATAGGGCGAAGTCGAAGGTGAAAAAGCCATAAAAACTATGGAAGTGAACTATTTTTCCATCAAAATCATTTAATATTCAACGCATACTTATAACGACACCGGTTAAATGGGAACAAATTCGATCAGTGTAAAATAATAAATAAAAATACCTTGAATTAAAGAAAACGACCAACTAAGACCCAACTAGGAAGAAAAGCGGACGTTGCGTGTCGCCTGGGACTATGATGGGGGGGGGGGGGG